TCAGAAAGGAATCTTACCCCCCCACCCCGGGCTCCTGGCCCCACCCCCGACAGTGCCCGGGGCAGACGCAGCCCGGCAGCCCCCACCTTCCTCTACCCCAGACCCCGCACCTTCATGCGGTCGATGTTCACTTCCAGCTTCAGCTGTTCCACCGCCTTGCGGGCTTCCGCGATCTTGGCCATGTTGTTGGACATGGCTGCGGCGGGCAAGGAGTCAAAAGCCGGTGGGAATGGGGGCGAAGGGGGCAGGCTAGGGGCGTCTGGGGCCCCGGTGAGGGTGGCGGTGTGGTGGGACCCAGCAACTGGGGCGTGGGTGGAAGAGCGCGCGAGGGTGCCCAGAGGCGGTCGGAGGGGCAGGAAGACAGGGAAAGTGGAGATGAAGAGCCGCTCAGATGGGGACCGAGAGGCAGGGGGAGGGAGGGACAGAGGAAGGCAGCAGGGAGCACAGATGCAAGGCAGGCAGGTGGAGGGAGGGACGGAAGGACATGGCCACAGGTGCCGGAGCACGATCCAGGTGTCCTCGGCCCCCAGGGACAGAGAGAGCCAGGAGGGGGCCCTCCCCAGGCCAATTAGCAGTGGTTCCAGGGAGAACAAGGAATTAAGATCTCGGCGGGAGGGGCGCAGAGGGGGCCTCATTAGGGCCTCGGACGCAGCTGCCCCCTGCGCTCCCCTCGGGAGCTCCCCCACCCAGCCCTCTACCTCAAAGGCTCCTCTGCTCATTAGCAGTGGGAGAGAGGGGGAGGGGGGGGCAATCCAGACACGACTGGGAGGGGGGAGGAGAGGATGGAGACAGGGGCAAATGGAGGGGCAGAGGGAGAGACTGAGGCACAGGAGAAATAAAGAGACTGGGGGGAGAGAGAGATGGAGACGGGGAAGGATGAAGTGATGGACGGAGTTGGGGGGACAAATAGAGGAGTAAAGAAAGGGATAGAGTGACACGGGTGGGGGAGAGGGATTAGAGACGGGAGATGGAGTGATGGGGGGAGAGGATAGAGATAGGGACACTGTAGGGGGAGAGGAAGGGGCACAGACAGAGGGGCAGGGAGAGGCACGGGGGACAAGGGGACAGAGGACAGGGGGACAGGGAGAGGGAGGTGGAGGGGTTGGGGGAGAGACAGGCTGGTGGAGACACAGACATATAAAGTCATTCATTCACTCATTCATTCATTCCCAGGCGGACCCACCGGCAGAGAGAGGACAGAGGGACGACCTGTTGGGGCAGGACCGGAGCCTCCTACCTGCTGTTGCCCAGGGCTGGGATGGCGGGCTGCTGGCGGAGGTGAGGCTGACAGGCAGCTGCTGGGTCCCC